CAGGGCCCTGGCTTCTCCCTGATGTGGCCGAGGAGGCTGGGCCCCGGCCTCCCCGCCACCCAGCGACTCTCACCCCAAAGCCGGGCTGCTGTTCGCCGGCCCAGCTCACACACCCCTGTCCTCCTCCTCCCCCAGGATGACCAGGGTGGACCTGAGGAACTACCTGGAGCGCATTTACAGCGTGCCCGTGGCCGCCGTGCGGACCAGGGTGCAGCATGGTGGGTGCCTGGCGGGGCTGCTCCCTGTCGCACGTATGGGATCACCCCCCGCCCCCCGTGCCACTGACCACCTCACCCTTGCGGCCACTCCGTGGGTCTAGCTCTCGGCACAGGGCACCGGGATGACCTCCAGGGTCGCACTTCTCACAGGCCCCTCAGAGCGCTGCTTCACCCCTTCGCCTGCCCGTTCCTCCCCGGGGACCTGAAGGCCTTCGGTCTGAGGCGAGGAGCCAGCGGGAGCCGCGGTGCTGACCAAGAAGCCCCGTGCTGGGGGTTTTAGCAGAGAGGGGCCTGGCTCGCGCCCCCGGCACGGCCCGCAGATTGCACGGCCGCCTTTGGGGTGTGCCCTGCCGGCACCCGTGCACCCCGTCTCTCCGGCCCGTCTCTTTAGAAAGTGGGCGCTGGATTAGTGGGACTTAGAGCTTCGTGTTGGCAGACAAGGGTTTCTCCCCCGACAGGTTCCAACAGGAAGAGGGACCACAGGAACCTCAGAGTGAAGAAGCCGGACTACAAGGTGGCCTACGTGCAGCTGGTGAGTGCGTGCCTGGCGGCGGCAGGGGCGCGGGGGCCGCTGTGACCGGCAGTGACCTCTCGGGGGGCGGGGGCCGGCCGTGTTTGTGCAGCAGCCACTGCCCGGGGCCCAGGAAGGCCTTGAGGGGCAGGATCTCAAGGTCCACTGCCCTTCGCTCTAATCCACAACAAGATCCGTGCGGAGCTGGGGTTCAAAGCACAGTTAAGCTGGTGGGAGGGGCGGGTCGGGGCACTTTGGAGCTTCTCGGGGGCCACCCTGTTGAGCCTTTGAACTTTGAACACGCTGTGGGCAGAGCAGGCCCCCCCAGGCTCAGGATCTGGGCTCTGACAGAAACCAGACCAGGATCAGAGCCGCGGTCCTGGGGCCCTGCACGGGGACGGCTCCCAGGCTGGAGGGAGCCTGCCACGGTGCCCGTCCTTGTGGGGGCCCCGGCCCAGAGCCCTCCCTGGCACGTCGGGTTGTGGGCGCCTGCACAGTTGGCACCCGGGTTCCCCCTGTGGCTCCTGCCTGGCCAGGGGGATCCGGCCACTCAAGCCTTCCTGACCGAGCCCAGGGCTGTGGACAGTCAAGCACTCACTCCCGCGTCCCTCTCCCGCTCTCAGAGGTGCTTTCCCCGGACCCCAAGGCTGCGAGGGCCCCCGGCAGGGTCTCCGCGGTCGCTGGGTCCGGGAGGTGCCCCCTCTGTTTGGGGGTGGGGGGGCCTCCAGTTTGCTGTTTCTGTGTCGGAGCTCGGCGTGGAGCCACGGCGCCGGCCGCTAGATGGCAGTAGCGTTGTGGTGAAGCCGGCCGCAGGCCTAGCTGCTCCGGGCGGAGGCCCTCGGTGAGGGGGCCCTGTCCGCGTGGCAGCTTTTCTGAAAAACAGTCACAGCTGTTGTCCTGAACGGCCCGTAATTATTTGGCCTAATATTTGCCGCGTAAAATCGGCCCGTGGGGGGGGGCTGGGCTCATAAAGACGCCTGTGTCCTGTGTCGGCTCGGCCGGCCGTCTTTGTCAGGCGGGTGGACGGCCATAAGCCCACACTCGCCTCGAGGCCCTTCAC